CAACACTGCAAGAAAGCTATGCAAACTTTCATCTTTAGGATACCCTGAGCTTTACTTCTGTCAGATAGTTTAGGGTATTGGGGCAGGAATATTGGACATTTAACTTCTCTGATGCTCAGTTAGTATATCAGGGTTAAAAGGATTCTTGAAGCAACATCCCAAGAAAAGGAAGAGAAATGATTAGTGTCTAGGATAGACTATTTCATTCCTCTGAATTTTCAGAGGGACAAATCAAGAGCAGCACATATCACAGCACCTATTCCGGAGTTCAGTGAGTTGGCATTCTAAGAGAATTCAGAATCAGCATATCCCACTGATGCCAGAAACAGGCTACCAATTTTCATGTGAGAAGGATTTACTTCTGTAGTCCTACATAGTCAGGGAGGCATCCCATGAGGTGTAAAAGTACCTAAGACACTGTTTCCGACCAATTCAGCTGATCTATCACGACCACAGAGCTCTTGTATTGTATGAATTCCTAGGATTTGTTTTCACATTACCATTGTAATGGTTTAGGATCCCTCAACTGAATTCCTATAGAGAAAGTAGGTTAAACACATCAGATTAAGCCAGTCAGATGCTAGACTGAAGCATTATGGTGATGCATAGAGTATTCCATGGATAGAAATTGTCAAGAGGTGGTATTCTCTGCCTTGGGAATAAAGGACTACTTTAAAAAAGGAAGCAAAACACGCAAGTCTATTTAGGCTTCTAACTCCATGTTTAGACAGTGAGGAACTGTCCGGATTTTCAGCTGTGCTAAGAAGTCAGCATCTCACGTCAAATTTAGAGGGGCTCCAAACACCTCTGAAAATCCAGATTTCTATTTTGATGTTTTAATGTAATTTAACATAGTAGCTTTGATCTCATAAACCAATAAATTTCTGAACAGAAATTAAATCAAAAATTCCAAGGCCAAATGGCGGTCTCATCAGTATTTGACATTTTCAGTCATTCACTGCAGCTACTGACCACTTTTGAAAATTTCTGAGAATGATCAGAAAGCAGCACTTACTTATATGGTGGCAAATCATGGGCAGTGAGAAGCCTACTGCAGAGGCTTCTCTCCCAGCAGTGCACTTGGTTCATACAGCTCCACCAGACCACGCTCAGGGCCTTGATGATGCCTCTGACACTATGTGGGTCTCTTTGGCAGCTGACCCCAGCAGAGACTGACCAAGCACTCCAGGCCATCCTCCAGGAGTGTGGAATTATGGTTCTCCTTTGTGCTTCTCTAATTTATTTGCTCAGTTGTTGTCCTCTTTAACACAGTGAGCTAGTCTGGCAGGGGACACAGGGAAGCATCTCTCAGCCATGCTCTGCAGGCCATAGCAGAGACATGGGAACATACACAGGAGTAGGCAGCTCAGAGCAGGAGAAAGGCTGTTTTTAATCTGGGTTACGGGGGTGGCTGGGAGATGAGCAATCCCCTAAGCAGAGCTGGTCCTCCTCCCATGCACATCAGTACTGTATTCTCTGACAGGACCCTTTTGCTGTGTCTGTTAGATAAAACTATTCATTTGCCATCTTTCCACTAGCCAGTCTGAAATGACAAAACACTTCTCTATTTCACAGACCATTGGGACGCTTCTCTGCAACTGACCTATAATGGTTATAAGCTTAATTTGTTCTGGCCTGCACTCCTCTCTCTTCTCCCACATGGAGCACATGCACTGCTCCTCCCCCTCAAACAAACACCTTTACAATCCAAGGACATTGTAAAAATAAAATTATCACAACCTGGCCCTCTGGGAACCTCGGTTTTACAGTTTGACCCACTCTGATGCCAACAGTATTCACAACCCAGTTCAAGAGAGACAGACAGTGAGTGAGAGAAAGCAGGCAGACAGGCACAGACAGAAGGAGATGGAGGAATTGGGGAGAAAAGGAGCAGAAGGAGAGAAACAGGGCCCCTAGTCTAGAACACAATGGAGAATGGGGAATGGAGTTATAGGGACAGTAAAAAACTTAAAATTATAGAAAATTGAAGGAAGAGAGAAAGAAATAGATGGGAAAAAAGCAAAGGAAAATACAGAAGAGAAAAGAAATGGTCAAAGGGAAGAGGGGGAGGTCAAGTCAGGCAGCAAAGCAAAATGGTGTCTGTGAAACAAGGCAGAAGAAATAAGAAGGTGCTTGTGAATCTGGGCACTACTTTTTTCATGTTTCCTTTTCTATTATGAGTACACTGTGAGGAAAAGGGCAAGAGGAAAGGGAAAGGAGGATAAATAAATACCTGAGCTGCCATCTTAAACATTTTCTAATAGTCAAGCAGATATGCTTGAAACAGGCAGGCCACAGGTTGCAAACACTTGGGTACAAATTGCAGTTCAGCAGGTAGGAAACTGTCTGCACTAGCATAGTGGCATTTACATTCCTGGGTCCACTGGGTCTCTCTGTGCACTGGCAGTGAGAGAATGCACTGAATGCATAAAAATGCTTCTGTTTAGTACTGGGGAATTGTGCTCTGATGGCTGCCCTGTATCCTCCTTCAGGTTCCAATAAGAAAACCTCAGCCCCAAACATACAAATGCAGTTAAGTCTCCCTTCTTTTCATACAAATCCCTTCCTCCCCACTGCCTGATGCCAGCTCGTTTGCACTCCAAGGGTTCATCTCTCTCTAGCATTGCTCTTTTGTTGCTCTGCTTTCACTCACCTCTTTCCTTATGGCTCCCTTTTCTCAGTCCCATTCATTCAGCTCACCCTCACACAGGCCTGTATAAACACACACACAGAATTTATCTCCATCTCTGTAGCTATCCACTTATCTACGAGTGTAGTACCTGGCTGGCACACATCCCTCTCCCACAGACAATTCATTGATTTCCACACCACAACCCTGCCAAATCTGCCTGTCTTTCCTTCCTTCACAGCTTTTCTCTTGCTGTCCCCAGCCACTCTGTTTCTTTGTCTCTCCCTGCACAGTTCTATATGCTTTTCCCTCTTTTCAATCCATTCTGCCTTCTCCCCAATTCTGTCCATCTGTCTGTCCTCCCTTCCCACAGTTCTCTCCAGCTCATACACACATACCCCAGTATCTCTCCCTTTCTCCCCCTGCCACATTTCATTTCTTTGTGTCTCCTACACAACCCAGGCCCACACTTGCTCTCTCCCATACTGAGAGGAGGCAGCAGCAAAGAATTTGCTGCTGACCGCTGCATTGCTAGGAGGCAAACACATGGCCGGCCTTGTGCAGGCCAGTTTCTGCCTGAGTGCCCCAAGTCACATATCCCCAGCATCATCTCCAGCACTGGGAAAACAGATGGTAAAATAAATGAGCACAGGCTGATAAAAGGAGGAAAGAGTGCCTGCCTTGGATGCTCCTCACCCGCACAGAGATACACATCTGATATGGGCACAGCCCTCTCACTCCTATACCAGTCCAGCTTTGTGCCAGAACTAGCCAGCTGAACAGGGCACAAGCTCTTCCCTAGCACCAGATGGAGAGGGGTAGGAGAGGGTGGTAGTAGATAGAATGACCAGTGGCTATTTTTCTTACCACAGCTTCTAATCCTGGAAAGCAAAGTACATGAGAGGAAATAAGCAGTCTTAAGGTCACAGGGAGGGCTGGTATCATGGGAGGTGTAGCAGAATTGTGGGGACATATGTGGAATACTCTGATACCATAGAGCTTTCCCCACCTAGGCTGACAGAGAAGGTTTAACCCATGATGTTCTGCAGCACTACTGCCAACCTACATCAGACTGCCTCCCCCACTGGCCAGTTGACACTGCCCAGCCCAATTATTCACCCTCATCCCCCCTAGAGGTTGCTGCCCTTTGCCTGCACCTCTGCCCTCAGGTCATTGGTCACTGACCCCACACTTAAGTAGTGCAGACCACATGGTTTTGTCTTTTGTCTCTGGTCCCTTTAAACCCCTTGCTGGAATGTATCATGCAAAGACCCTTCCTATCTTTACTCCGCTGAGCCCTCTGTGGCATGTACATGTGCATGGACTTGAAATGGCTGTTCTCGTGGCCTTACCTTGAGCGGTTTCTGAAGAAGACACCTCAAAGAAGGTTGCAGCATTTCTACCACCCTGCCATGCTGCAATAGACATATAAGGCCTCCACATGCAGAGACAGGAGGAAAAAGGCAAGTGGCATGGACAGGGAAAGGAATCAGGTATCAAAATAGCTGTGGACCAAGATGGCATTCAGGGATGACTTTTATGTCAGTGAAGAGGGAAAGCCACTCTACTGGCAATCTTAGCTGTGAGGGTCATCAAGAGCAACTACATACTCTGCTGAAGGGAAATAGCTTCATACCTCAAAAGGGACAGAAACCAGAGGGCAGGATTTGCATTATTCTGCTTTTGCTCATACCAGAACCATCCACCTGGTCTTATCCAATTCCATGATATTGTTCAAGAATGCTCCTTTACCTCCTCTACTAGCTTCCCAGGTACCTCCATCCAGAGATTCGCAGCATCCTTTCCTTTACCTGTTAGAAGAAACCCACATTTGTTGCCCTTTCCAAACCCACCAGAATTCCTTCCTCATCTGACATTTTCACATCCATTATAGCCTCTCTTTGCTGACAACAGCACTGAAAAGCATTATCTTAACCCTGCAAGACATCTTTCCTAGATACTCTGTTCTGCTGTGCCTACAAACTGATTTTATGCTTGATGCTTCAACTGTAACCTGAATCTCAACACTTCCAGTTTTACAGTCCTCAAAATGAAGCCACTCAACATCACAGAAATAATGTCCTAGATATGGCCCACAATGGTCACACAACTGTTAGACTAACAGAGAGCAACACTTCACAGGAATCAAAATGAATTACCAAAAGCAGAGAAGGGAAAACAACACAGAAGATATTCCTGCCTGGTCAGGTGAATGTGCAGGTTCTCTTTCCATTTCCTGAATGTATTCATGATGCAGCATCACAGTTTGGCATAAATGAATGTGTTGTTGCCTACTCTCTCCCTCCTGGCCCCCCCCCCCCCCCCCCCCAAAAAAAAAAAAAACCCCAAAAAAACACCAACAAACCAATGGTTTAAGCAGAAAGGTCATGATTATTTTTGGCAAAGGAAAATAGAGATAGAGAATATAGCACTGGAAATAATGTGTGGTTTAAATGTGTTTATGAACATGTGTGGGTACCAATTGTAGGTATCTATTTATCTTCACTCAGAAATTCCCTCAGAAGAGCTGTACTCAAATATGAATTTCCAACATCTCTTCACACTCTTCCATCCTCATAGTCTGATAGGGTCCTCAGAATACCTACTTGATCTTTTCTGGTCTCATCTGGGTATGCTGTCTCCAGCCACTGCTGCTCACAGCATCACAGCTTGCTGTTCTTATCTCCCCACACTGCTCCTACGTTTATCATTCTGGATCCTTGCTATTGCCTTTCAATTTCCAGTGTCAACCCTGTCACACAGACTTTAACTCTTCCTGCCTTGTTCCAATGCAGGTCCTGCATCTTAAACCTAAATTGATGGCTACCAGTGACCTTCCTCATCATGGCTCTGAATCCCTGTCTGCCCTTGGCCCTGTGAGCTTGGCCCTGAAGATCTCCTTTCAGTTATTTATTCTTATCACTCGCCCTTCCACCTGCAAGGTCATCCAGTTCTACCCTGTATCTTCATTTTCCCTCAGTGGCTCATGCAAAAATTACTTTTCTTCCCATTTTATTTTCATACAGCATTCTAAAAGACAGAAGCCTCAGGTTCTCCACCCCTAAATCCTACCCTGGCAATCTGTCTCAGCAAATCCTTTGGGCTCTTCATGAAAGAATACAGACCTACATATTTCCTACATATTCCTGTTCCCCTATTGCTCAGGCTTTTTCCCCTGTCTGGGACACAGAAGTCGATCACTTCTGCCTTTTTACCCTTTTCCTCACAGTCCCTAACTTGCAGCCCTCATATTGGCTATTTTTCTAGTACTTGTGCAGAAAGATCACAGGCTCCACATATCTCCAGTTGATGTATATCTGGCTGGAGGGAAACTCATCAAACTGACCCCATCCCTGACCCCAGCTTGACATGTAGGGTCTGTCATGTTTCCCTTTTAAATATTCCCAGATTAAATCTCAGAGACCAGGAAAGGGAGCAATTCTAAGCTTCTCCTGACAAACAGCTCTAGGGGAGGAGATATATGAAGCCATGACAGAAAAACAAAAGACCTCCAAGGAGTAAAAAAACTATCAAAAATTTCCACCAAAACCCCAGGTTAGAAGAACAGCCAGTGTCTGTAACAAAGTTACACTGCAGTAAGCTCTGAAGAGCCCAGATGAGGCTGCCAGGACTCAGTGGTCTCCTGCCAGGAAATTACACCCTAGACTGATCAACATCCCCATCTCTCAGGTGACTTTGACAGGGAGTCATAACAGCTAAAAAGCCCTGAAAAGACTCAAGACTGAATAGCTCTCTTCTTCCTCCCTCCCCCAAGCATTGTTGTTCCGGGTCAACAGAGCCAAGGGCAACTGGCACAGAAGACATTGTTCTCCAGGCAAAATGACAGCAGGAGGAGGAAATAGGACACGAGTAGAGTGATGATGTGCCCCTAGGCCAAAAGAGATGTGAGGCCAACATGGCCCTTGAAGTGCTCCTGCTCTGACTCCACCTTTGCTGCAGAAGGTCTAAGAAGTCCCTCAGACCCAGGTTCCACAGAGTACCATCTGCAAGATGGAAAAACTACTTGTTAAGAGCAAGCAGAGGTGGATATCGTCCACCAAGGAGCAGATATGAGATAGGAAAAGGACAGAGAATGCATGGGGAGAGAGGGGTCCCATCACACAGGGGACTAGCACTAGCAAATAATCCTGCCCCTGGCAAATAATCTGCCACTAGCAAATAATCTGATATGCTGCTGACTTTGTGCAGGTAGATGAGACCAGAACTGCAAGCAACAGCCACCTGAACATCAGAGATACAGGAATTATTAAAAACAGAGCACAGCCTTGAGTTGCGTAAGGACCCCCACAGATCTGCATAAGCACCAGCAGAAAGCAGTTGCTGCCTCCAGAACAGAAATGCAGTGTTTTCCCTGCTGTCAGCACCTGCGTCAGGCTCCCAGTTTCTCTTGAGATACAGCTCTTAATTGGGATAGATTGTACATTTTCTGCCCAGCTTCCAGTTTAATTGCTAGTTTATGACTTAGCCTGTTTTGTGCTTTCCATGCTACTTCTATCCTCACTTAATCTAATAGAATTATAGAAAGTATTGCTGGGAGGACCTCAGGAGGCCACGCAGTTTATCCTTTTGCCCCAGGGCAGTATTTCATTTTCAACAACATCATGTGTCTTTTGCTATCAGGTCAGATCGGTCCAAGATGTATAGTGGGTAAAGAAATGAAGCTTACCCAGGGGAGTCAATTGGCATAAAAGACTAAATTCAGCTCTTCAAGTCACTGAAGTTATATCAGAAATAACCCTGGTCCAAATGGTGTCATTTATCAGATCAGTCTTTTAAAAGATGTCCTTTCTTAAGTTTAAAGTCTTTAAAATGAACAAATCTCTAGAAGAAACTGTTTTGACAGCCCCATTTCAGTATATTTAATGCTTCATTATGAACAGTGGTGACCACTCCATTGTTAAGACTTAACAGAGCTTACCACAGTGTGATCAGCTTTGAAACTCCTATTAATTCCCACAATAAAACCCGACCTTTCTGGAATTTTACATCCTGAATTTCACTCCGCAGTAGACTATGTCTGGCAAGACAAAACAAAACCATTAAACCATCTTTAATATGACAAGTTTACACAAATGAATTTCCAGTAAAATTTCAGAATGTCAGACAGCTTCTTAAGGCTTTTTCTTCCAAGACAATTTGACTAAAAATTCAACTTTTGTTTCCTTTTGTCTATTAATCTAAGAAGAAATGTCTTGCAGCCTTGGGAATAGATAATGCAGAAATTAGAAGGATAAAAAAAAATCAGCTGGTGATGTATCAAGCTAAGTAAAACAGGGCACAAGTATAACAGAGATTCTGTGCAGACCCATGAGGACCAAAGAAAAGGTAAGAAGGAGGGACTCCAGGGAAGAGAGAAATGGTTTTGTCTAATCAAACAAGCAAGCAGGAAAAAGGACTACATATCTATACCAGTTAAAGGCCTGTTTGTTTCCTTTGCTTTATTTTGAAATTTCAGTTCTGGTTGAGCTGGGTATTTCTGTGTTGTAACACTCATGCTGAGCACCTGCAGCACTGCACAGCTGGACAAAGCAGGGGAGCTGTAAGAAGACAACAAGCTTCCTGGTCAGCAGACAGGCTTTCTGTCTTCCTCCCACTGTTCTCCACAGCATCTGTAATTCAGACTGATGCTAAGCCTATAAGCAGCAAACACACATACTCACTCTACAGATGTGACTGCCAAAGTTAGTAAACAGGTAAGAGAAACTTAATAGACTTCAGACTCTTACTCATCCTGCTGGTCCAGCTGACTTACTCACTACCCTGAACTCCCTCACACAGAGACAAAACTATTTCCCACAATCTTCCTATGTTTGGCTTCTGTGTTTTCTACACCCTCTTCACTCCTAGCCTCTACAACCAAGGACACAATTAAGCCAGAAAAATACCAACAACCACTACTTGCATCAGGCTGGTATTATACAGCACAGTAGCCAGGAAGGGCAATATATTATGCTGTTAAAATAGATTTGAAAGGGTTGAGATTGTAATTGTCAAACACACTATTTTGAAGGACATTAAACTGTGTCCAGATTAGTGCTTGAAACAGTCCTGTAAAAAGCAAGTTTGACAACATGCTTTAGACACGACTTCTTTTCTAATTGTGGTTGTGGCTTGTGGAAGAGGGAAAGGGGCAGTGGGTGAATTCCTACTGTTAGCTAATTAGATCATATATTTCCTCTCTCAGGCAATAGATCTTTCCCTGCATGGGCTGCATTTTTCTTCACTAACTTCTCAAAAGCAGCTTCCCTATAAATCACAGATCACCACTCCAAGCAGTACCTTGATGAGCTTCTCCAGCTTTTGCATTTATTTTATACAGCAGCATTCACCAATCTTCATCTTACTGGTGAATTTCGAGTGTTTGCTTGAAGTTATGGGAGGTTCTTCAGGTGCAGCTAGACTCCCTGGTTAAAGATTGCACAGAATTAATTTTATTTCCTATTCCCAAGGCATTGTTTCCCCTAGATACACCATGTCACAGGTGACATACACATCTGGTATGTTATTTTCAATATGAAAAATAAAAAAATATGTGTCTTGTTTTGTGATCACATTGTCAATTGAACTAGAGGGAAATGAGATACCAAATAAAAACAAACCTTCTTTAGTTCTTTAACTGGATCAGCACAGCATCCAAAATAGCTTTTATTCTTACTAGTCAGAGTAAGAATAAAAGGTGCAGATACCAGGACCTGCAAGCAAGAGTCTATACAGCCTATGTAAATCAATATAAAAAACCCAGGATTAACAAGACAACCTGTGCAAGATACAAATGCCAGGAATGCTAATCCAATGCAAAAAGAGGGAATCTTCTAGTTACCCTATGTTCATGGAGGAGTCCTTCCTTCTTTGAAGAAAGCAGGAGCTTTCCCAGCTTGTTCTGTCATTTTTGAGTTGGCTTCTAGCAAAAGAATCTCTTCTTTTCACTTTTTGTAGATTCAGCTCCTACTCATCCTCTTTAACTGGTATTCATGCTCCCTAGCGAGTTCTCAGCATCAACACACTGTTGCCAGTGAAATGAGGCCAGTGCTTCTCCAGATCCTTGAGGTGCTTCATAAAGCCTGCTACAACATCTGCAGCCATATTTCTTACATTCAATTTAATGTACTTTTCCTAGCACTGGGCATAAAAATGCTTATAAACCACACGTATAAAAGTCTTGAAACACAGATTCCTAAAAAGACTGCCTGAAAAATCACTCAGTGCTTATTCTCTACAAAACTCAGCTTCCCTAGGTCAAGGGAGTCTACCATAGGTTAAAGTTTTGGAACTTTTGGCATTAGGCTCAGTTACAAGGCGGTACCTTGCCACAGATGCTTTTGTATACTGCATTAGCAAAGACTCTTACACATGTAACATCAGTACTCCACACAATAGAGCAAATCTCTCTAGGCTTTTACCCTTTCTAATATGAAACTTCTAGCCAGACATAGCTGAGTCAGAGTAACTTAGCCAGGCTGTCTTTCATTTCCTTAGTCCTGTTTCCACTAGCAACATCAGAACCGTGGTCTTCTATCTGAAATTCAATGACAAGCAGAGAGACTTTAATAAGAGGACTCTGATTTTGAGATTGAAAACTGAACCTTAATCAGAATGGTATTGCCAAATTCAACTGACAAAAATGACACAACAATACGTAAGATGATAAAGACATGAAAAAGAAAAGGTAATTTTTGTAAGTTTTAGATTCATCTTTAGAATAGAAAAGGTATTCTTGTAATTTGACTCCATTTTGCAGCTAAGCCAATTTGGACGTGCCTGCAGGAAGCCTTTCCTGCTCACTTCGAGGGAGGTGGCAGCCTCTGGAGAACTCCTGTGACCTGGGACCAGCAGAGGGCACTGCGTCACCAAGTGACAGCGGCTGGACGCGACACAGCTCCCACCAGGCAGGGACAGTGAGCCACGCCGAAGGAAAAAAACAGATGCTGGAAATTAGAAACATGCATTAGTCACCAGCATATCAATCCTACAACTGATAAAGGCAACACTGTTAAAATTGGCCTCCAACTCTGGCACCCCTGGAAACACACCTAAATCCATCTCCTCCATACGTCACTCTCCAGATGTTGATTTTAAGGCAATAAGCCTCCTTCTGAAAATGCTTTTCAAGGGGTAGGGCCAAATCGGTCCTGCCCTGCAGTGTATGTATAAAGGCTGGCTTAAGTCAAAAAACATCCTGTCAGCTTCCTCTCTGCTTTTCCAAACCTCTAAATCCCTGCTTGTAGCAGCCGGAAGTCTGTTCAGACAAAAAGATATTAAAGCAAAGAGCTGGCAATTTCCATTCTATCCTCCCCTTTTACTCTCTGCCTCCTCCAACCTAGCCGACTTTCAATGAGCAGAGAACCAAGTTAGAGGACATGAAAGGAATGCTGAGGTAGCAGCTTCAGAAGAGTGTCTTTCTTCTTGCCTATTTCTAGTTTATTTTGAATTACCAGAGGATGACCATGAAGTAGCAAATAGCTCATATTTTTTCTTCTTTCTGTATTCAGTCCAGCAGGATTCTCAGTACTAGAAGAAGCTTAGAGGATCAATAAATCATACCAGTCAGGCTAGTGAGTGAAAAGTTTCCACTTTCTCTTTGTACAGTTGGTGGAATAACTTTGCCAGGATGTGGAAAGGGGCCTCAAAATTTTTCATTTCCTTCTGTAAAGAAATAAGAAATTTGTCAATTGCAGATGGAATAAGCATTTGACTATTTCTGCTCTGTTTCACCAAAGAAGGATTAAAACTGAGTTAGATGACAAAGAAGGTGAAGAGAGTCCCCAGTTATCTTTCTCTGTCTGGAAGAGAAGATAACTTTACAAACACCCCCTTGCACAGATGGTGAAAGGAGCAGATACTCACCACTGACATCTCACAGTATTCCAGGCCATGTTTCTCAGCCCACTCCTGTGCTTGTTCCTGCTCCACAACTCGACGATCAGCTAGGTCTGTTTTATTCCCCACTAAGACACCTACAGAAAAAAAAAGACATGAAAGGATAGAAAAAGCCCAGCTCATCAATGCTGACTTGTAAGCCATAAATACTGGAACATCTGTAGAAGTAACTGAAGAAGTTGTAGGCGTGACAAATAGTCTATAACTACTTAAAAAATATTCCAAAAAGGAAACATATTCAAGCCTTATCTGCTTTTTGATAAAAGCAAAGGAGTTGGAGGAAACCATGTCTGTCCCTGACTTAAAATAAATGCTCTACTCCACAGCTCACCAGAAGCAAGAGGGGAGTAGATAACAAGAATCACACCCATTCTTACCTGGGATGTGCATCCCAACTGCTTGAGCCCTCAGCTTCTCCAACCATTTGTTACAGTTGTTGAAGGATTGCTCATTAGTGACATCATACACAAGGCACAGGACGTTGGGTTGCTCCCACTGCACAGCAAGAAAGGAACACTGTCAGCTCTAATGAAACCAATGTGGTCAACAGCCAGGCTGTAAATGTGGCAAACACAGCTGCTAAGATGAAAATAAAAAGCCTAACACCCAGGAATCTTATGCCCTGGCTGAGGTTTCACATTTCAATTGACCCAGCTAAATCACTGACATTGGTAGAGGTGGTCCTGCTTTCCTCCCTAGTCCTGTCTGTGCAGCCCTGCCCCCTTACTTGTATCAGCTCTGGAACTCTTCTGATCCCCGGGTAAGCTGATTTTTCATGCTGAATCAGCACAAAATTAATCCTAGGAAAAAAGTAGAAAGGTTTTCTTCCTTCTTTTCTTCTTTCTTTCTCAGTTTGAGAAGCTGAGCCAGCTTCTAGAGAAGACCCTTGCAAAACAGGTCTAGTGCAAGTGTAAAAGTGGAATCGCTTTTGTAGACAATGAACCATTAGGTTGACTTAGACATCTTATGAAAGCTTACATCAATTAGCTAATTCTGCTTCTCAAAATGAGATAACACAGTAGACAACTGTACAGGGAAGGTCACAAATACGTGAAGGAAAAAACCCAAGGGCAGGATTATGCTCAAGGACAAGAATGAATCCTGCTGGATGAAACACATAAGTGTAACACTAAAAAAACCCATCTGGCTGTTGAAGTTGCAGCAAAACAGATGTTTTTCTAAGAAATAAAAGTACCTTTAAACAATAGTACACAGAAATTCTCAGTTAAAGGTTCCTATTTCTTTTGTAAGAAAACTGTCTATCTCCTTTCCTTTCTCTGGAAAGTATTTCTTCTAGTACTTACACAAGTTTTAGAGAGGTAGAACAGGATGCGTTGGCAACTGAGGTAATTGCTCCATTTACACTAAAGACAAAGTTTGCTACATCTGCCAGACTGGGGAGCTCAGATCTTCAAAGCAAAAGCACTTCTTTGGAAGAAGAGGACTGTTACATAAGACTTACCAGTTTCTCCAGCATTTCAGAAAATAGATCTTTTCCTGCAGAGTCGAAAATGAAGAATTCCTGAAAGCGGAAACAGAAAGAAGGCTCTTGCCAAGAAAAATGCTGTGTAGGGAAAGGTTTGGGAAGTAAATGCTGCAACTTGTAACTCCAACAATTTATTCAGTACAGTAGTGTCATGTCCCTAAGGGACAAACTCCCCACACTGAGAAAACTCCAGATAGTATGAGAAAATAAATAGCCATATTTCAAGTATAAGCTGTAAAAGAGTTACTTCCAAAGTCCCAAGTCTAGTTTCCATCCCTACTGGAAACAGAATATGTGGAATGGGACAGTAACCTCTACTATTTACACAAAATTATATACATTTTATTAATGGGAGTATAGGGCATTAAGGAGAAATAACATATGAACTTTAGCTTCTGTAGTTCCAAGAATCATGAACTAAACCTGAGTGCCCTAAAGGACAGAACAGAGTCTCAACAAAGCTGGCAATAACTTTGATTTAAAATGTTGCTTTAGATACAAGTATATGAAAATTATATTTTTAAGACTAAACTAACCCTGGAGTATCAGCAATTATACATGATCAGCCTAATTTCCTTAATGCAACTTAATTGCCCTATGAACATGCATAGTGATCTTCCACCAGAATGAGACTCATGTGAGGCTTGAGCTCCGGATGTCTCTTTTCTGACCCAATTTATGTCACAGAAAAACTCACCACACTATCACTTGTCTCTGGAACTGATACAGCCTTCACCAACAGTTCTATGCCTGCTGTCTGTCAAGAAGAATCAGGAAAATGAGGATCAGGAGAGTTTTTAAGAGCCTGTCCAAGTGCATACCAACCGTGCATTGGATTGAGGCAATTCTTGTGAATCATTACAATTTCATCAAACATAGACCGCTGGAAACTCAGCAATACTCCTCCTAGCTCTGGTAACCTAATCTCACAATATGTCAAAGACTCATAGATTTGCTCAGCTGGGGAAAAAGGAGAACCAAAGAGATTTGCTTATGTACAGAGTATTAGCTGAAGTCTGCAGGTCTACGTTCACTCTCACACTGCTGCTCTAACGCATGTCTTAGAACGTTTTGCACTAACCATGTGATGAACTAACATATGGGACTGAGATTATTTGTGCTTCTTCCACCTTTTATCTCATTCTGCTTTGTAGCTCATTTGTTTGTTCTATTTCTATCCTTAAATTCTGGTTTCCATCTTTATTTCAATGAATAAACATATTTTAGGGTTTTTTTTCCTCCACACTCACATTTTCCTTTTTTTACTTTACTTATATTTACTTTTATTTTTATCCTGCTTCTGATTAGTCATCACCATTGATTCTTACACTGAAAGACTGCAAACTGTATCCTCTTCATCTGGGAACAGTTTCTGTAGATTATAATTATCTTGGGGCTATGCAGCACATCTTGGTGTTTGCACAGTGATAAGCACACTGTCCACATCCACATTTAATAGTTGGAATTAAAAGCTTTCTCCTTCAGCAGTGCTTTTTCATAGAGTAGTCCCTAAAGGGGGGAGCTCTCTAAAACCACAAAACCTTGTGAAAACATTGGTTCAGCAGGAAAATCACAAGATTAACTAAGTTATTCTGCCTTAAATTACAACACCAGCACCTACATAATACAGACTTACAGAATGTTAAATGTTTTCTCTTCAGAATCTAGGTTGTAAGAAAGGAAACCCTCTAAGATCTCACCTTGAATGCCTCAATTTAAAATCATATTTATTTTGTTCTAGGCCTCTCAGTTTTCCCACTCATCTTCAAAAAATTTTAGACAGCAGTCTGAGCCTGTTGTATGCTTACCAGTGTGTAGTTCTTCTGAAAATGAGCCCCATCACTGCGGAACATCTGGGCTAATGCACTCTTACCTACAGCTGGATCTCCTACAAATCCAAAAACATAATTTTTTTTATTTTTTCATACTATAGAATCTTATTTTTTCTCAGTTCTGATACTATCACATGTTGTAAGAGCCCAGATGTTCTAACTCTGAATACAGGCAATATTGCCATTATGCATACTGGTGGCTGACATCTGATTTCTGACCTCTGCACAACAGCAAAGGACTGCCAGATTAGGGTGGAACTGCTGCTCATTCTAAAATGCATGCTTACTCCACAGCCCTTACCTAGGAATTAAAACTTCCCAGATATCTTATCATGTAGAGAAAATTGCAATGTGAAAAGGGACTGGGCTTCCTAGGAGGTTATTTTCTCTGCTTAGATTATCCATCTCCCCAGACTCAAATCCTTGTTATATACTGAGACAAAGCTGCTTAAGCTTTGTCTCAGTATATAACTTCTCAATGAACTCTTCTTGCTGACCCTGCTAAGAGAGCAACTCTTGCTGACTCAATGCTGCTGGTGGCTCATTAGTCGCATCCTGGGCATAACAGAAGCAAAGTCAGAGAGAAAGCACATGGGTGGAGAGAAGAGCCTGCTGATTCATCCCTGAATAGAAAGAAAAGCAAGGGGCTTTGGTTTTTGCTCTTCTAGAGCTAAGGCTTCAGGCAAACCTGACAGCTCCCTGCTTTGGCCTGCTCTTACAAAACTCTGTGAGATTCAAAACAATCACAGGATCACAGAACAGAATACGCTGAGTTGGAAGGGACCTACAAGGATCACTGGGTCCAACTCGTGGCCCTGCACAGGACCATTCCCAAGAATATTGCCCAAACTCTTCTTGAACTCTGTCAGGCTTGGTGCTGTGACCACTTCCCCTGGGGAGCTGTTACAGAGCCCAGTCATCCTCTGGGTGAAGAACCTTTTCCTAATATCCACCCTAAATCTCCTCTGACACAACTTCAGGCCATTTCCTCAGGCTCTGCAGAACTCACATATGCCCATATTACTACATGAAAAAGATCATAAACCATAACCCTTTCTAAACAAAACTTAATGCTTCCAAAGACTTTTTAATTTCTCGACATAATGTCTCACTAGCTTGGATAGTTAAAAGGACAGGAACCAGTAATTAAATACCTCAGTGGTTCAAGTTTTACCCTCAAAGGCATACTCATAACAGCCAAGCCTGGAATACAAGTCTTTCACATTATGTTGTTAATAAATAAAGCCAGAAAGGAAGTATTTTACATTAAGCTGTTAATGAATAAATCAAGAAATTTTTTACTCCATCACAGCTTCTAAATGGTGTTTTGAAGGCAATTGGTAAAGCTCTCTGCTCACATACTATTACAGAGGAGGAAGGGTGTTTTGGATAGTGACAATTACCCCTAGATGCATTAACCAAATGTAGTTCTTGTTTAAACATTTTTAGCATGCTTGCTTACTTTAAGCTGAGTTGGGTTCATAATATTTAGACAGGAAAATCTGGTAAGTCAGCTTGCTTGTTCTCTGATCAGTTCAAGCTTGTGCGGAAGACAACACTCTGTTCTGAGTGGAAGCTATTCTGTATTTCAATAGACAATTAGATCTGTCTTTGTAAAATGACATAGAGAGGCACACATTGCTCCAAACTGTGCAGGCATCAGCCAGCACAAATTCTTAACTAATGTGTTGCCTTTCTTTCACTTGACAGCCCCAGGTGTTCTTTTCCTCTTTTTATTCTTTGTCATCCTCTTTAGCCCATCACACCAGTATACTTCCTCAAAGTAAGTTTCCTTGTCCTTTTCAGTTTAGCCTCGTGTGCCAGTAGTGCATCTCACAGTATATATTCTATCCATATTTCTGTTATTCTGCCAGAATCTCTAGAATCCTTCAAAAATGCCTGCTACTGCCAGCTGTCTCTCTACAATGAAAACCTTTGTGTAGTGTCTCCACAGTAAGCTCAGAAAACAGATTTTTTTAATTTCATGCCTCTAAATGACCCTTGAGATAACACAGGAATGATCTTCTATTGTCAACTCAGTAATCTCTGTTTTACTAATAAGAGCCCTTTTCCCCTGTTCTTTTTGACCTTGGTGTAGCTCCCAATTTTGTGTCACTGGCTTTTCATAACCATTTCCTTAGGTCCACAAGAGCTCCCAGTTCCATTTCTGATAGGTTTGCTCCTATTTATGTAATTGCATTTTTTTTTGTTTCCTCATATCTTAGGTCACTTTCACTATAGTGGGTTTTTTCTGCAACAGAGAATCTATTTTTCCTGTTCTGCTTCACTAATTTATTGTTTTTAATAATACATGGATATTATTGTAGCACACAGAAGAATAACATATGGGATAGAACATTCCTGTTCTTTGTGCTGTGAACAGAATTGAAAAGGCTGCTCCAGACCCAATAAGGATTAAGGACATAAACAGGTCATCCAAAGAAAACTTACGTGATTTTAAAATGGTTGTGGAATTGGCCTTTGGTAACACTAAATAATAAAACTGGACAGACTTCAGCAAAGCCAGTATACTGGGAGCAGGACACTTCCAAATTGGAAACGATGCCTATGTTTCAAGCATAGAAGACGGGCAAGATAATCATGCTGTTCACAGCAGTAGAGCCACAAGGGAGATCAATTCTCTTGCCTTTGCCAAAGACCACATCTGGCTTTGTGTGAGCTGATGGTCAGCTGCTTCTGAGGTTAAAAAAGGCAAACATTTTATTCTGGATGAAATAATTTTGAATGCAGAGTTAAACCTGGGAGTTGACTGCACACAAAGGTTTTATGGATTCGTGCTTTTGGCTGAGGCTGCACAGAGCTTCAGTGTAGAGGGAAGGGGAAAAATAAAAAGCTTTTTCACAAAGTGTTAACAGACAGCTGTACTCACTTCCAACACCTCCATAATCCATCCTGACTAAATAAAGTGGGGTCTTCACCTCATTTTTCTTGTCAGGTTAGCCTCTAACTTGTTTGGGGAAAAAGATGCCACTGTGAAGTGCTCATCCTTCTACTCTTTGTTTAGGATTTACCTTTCTATTGTACTCTCAGAAGCATCCTAATTTCTACCATGAAGTTTTCACATCAGCCCAAAGCAAGACTCACGAGGCAGGATTCAGCTGCCTACCCTGCTCTCCTCGCTTTCTCTGTTCTCTCCGCCCACCTTTCCACTCTGCAGAAATACTCTTTTTGGTTTCTATTTGGGTTTTTTCCCTCTTTTTCAGATCCTATCCTTGGATTTTAGCCGATCCAACTACACCTCACACCCTCCCTGGGTGTCATTACCGAGTGGTAATAACACACACGAGTTCACAGCTCCCGTTCCCAGGCTGCCGAGGTCTTCCCTTCTCTCCCACGGCCTCTTTCCCCACCTCTTCACTAGCGGGGCGGCCCCTCGACGAGGGGCTGTAGGAAGCCGGGCCGCCCCCGCTGCCGGCCTCGCCCGGCCCCACGGCGCCCGCTCTAGTCCCGTGTGGGCAGCGGGGCGGATGGAGCGGGCGGGCCAGACTCACCTGCCAGCAGGCACTTGGCAGCGAGCCTCACCATCGCGCCGGCCCGGGGCAGGCGGCGGCGGTGGGCCCGGACGGAGGCAGCGAGGGCCGCCACCACGCTGAGCCGAGCCCTTGGCAACCGCGTGGCCCTGGCAACCGAGCGACCATCCGCCCATCCCCATTGGCTGCGGTCCCTGCTCATCAAGGCCACCCACAGGTATTATTGGTTCTTTGGTTTCTCCCCGCTTACTACATGCGCTGTCAATCAAATCAGACACCCCGCCCCTCCCGGTGGCGCCGCGGCGGTACGGGAGACGCGAAGGGGAATTCTGCCCGGCAACTAACGATGTCATCGAGAGCCGGCTTGTTATTGGGTAGAACATAGGGGGCCTGCACCACGGGGCTGAAAGGACCCTCTGGGCGCACGGCAGAAAATGACACAAGTTACGGGCAAGGAGCTGCGGCAGCCCCAAGGCGGGAAGAGGCAAGCGGGGCGAGAAGCCTCCACTTCCTGCCCGCGAGCCCGCGGAACGCGACGTTCCGTGCGGAAGGGCCGCGGCTCCGCGCGCCTTGCTGCGCATGCGCACGGCGGGCGCGCGGCCTCGCCCGGCCTGCGCGTCCCTCGCGCCGGCGCCGCCATTTGGGTCCCGCTCCCCTCAGGGCCCGGCGGCTGCGGGAGCTGCTGTGGGCGTAGAGTTGTGCTGCGGCGGCTTCAAAGTTGGCCACCAAGCCGGGTCAGCACGGCGGGAACAGGCGCTTTGTGAGGCCGCTCTCACCCTGAGGGAGTGGAGCTGCGCTCCTTCCCTGCCCGGGCCAGCAGCTGATCCGCTCGCATTTGCTCCAGTGCACACTTTTCCTTGTGTTTGGCCGTGTTAATGTACTCAAGGAGAAAGTTCTCTTGCTTGCTGATTTCTTAGCTGCTTTCTCCTTTTTTCCCCCCACTCTTTGTTAATTTTTGCAGCCTTCTGCAGTGGGTTAATTGCTTTATTTGTTTTTTCATATTTTAAAAATATTTCTACGAAGATCTCCCTTGGCTACTATTAAACTATTTATATGCCCTGTTTTATTCTTTGAACTGATTTTCTGTCTTCCTTAAGCAGTCCAAGTGAGTGGGTTTTGAGTGGGAACTGGAAAAGGGGACCACGAAGCTTCCTGGGTTTTCCCCTCCTTACAAACTCTTTGAAATATCTGTGCCACCAGAAAGCATGCCATTAATAGCAATCCATACTTTTTTTAGGGTATAAATTTGCTTGGCTGCACTTTGGATTGTTTATTCTGGAACAGAGTATGTGCTTACTGTGGAAAGCAGTGAGTAAGCTTGGGAAGAACAGAACAATCAATATTGCATCTGTATTTGGGTTATAACATTGGACATTCCAAGGGTCAAAGATAAAGTTTTCCAGGTTTTATTTTAATGTCAACATTTTATTTTAATGTGACTGCTTAGAAGGCAGCTCTTTTACCTTTCCTGGGATAAATTGCCTGTGACATGTCTAACCAGGCAAGCAAATAACATAAAATCAATGAGAACTTATAGCTGAATCAAAGGAGCCTCCTATATGCCCATAAAATAACATTGGGTAGAACATTTATATTCATGTGATAGAAACGTGAGGAGGACTTCACTAGCCTGAGTGGGCAGACTTCAATTGTAGATGATGACTTGTAGTAAAATATAGTGATGGAGTCACTACTGTTCATTTAAAAGGGAAAAGAAAAATCAGTCCCAGGTCTCATTATTACGTTCTCTGTTTTCCATCCCCAAATCTTCTATCACATAAAACAGATGTGGGCTATTGATGTTCTCCATCGCTTATGTCTAAATAGCTTACCTCCTCTTTCATCTTTTCTGCCTTCCCCTCCATCCTCCGAGAATTTCACTTGTCTCTGTGTCGTTCCATTTTTGCAAACTTTGCATTATCCTTTGTTGTCTATTTGTAATATTGCCCCAGTTTACTGACAGGTTTCCAAGCAAAGGCTTTGAGGCTCCATTATGATGTACTTGAGGTTTTTTGATCGTGGCTGCAGTGTGGTGGTATCCATCAGCATTTACTGAGGTCACAAACATCCTTGCCATTTTATACTGGGATCACTGCAATGGAAGACATAGATTATGTTGGAAGTGAGACTTCCATTGCTACTGAGAAGTTTTGCTTGGAATCTGAATATCTCCTTCCTGCTTGCTGCTTTCATATTAACACCCTGTTCCTTTACCCATTCCCTCATTTCCTACTGCTGCATGCATGTGTGCACAGAACTCTTAATGGATTTGTATCCTCTCTGTTTCTTGTCCTTTTACCCCACAATATTTATTTTTTTTTACCCAATCTATCTTTTCCTCTGCCTGACTTCTGTTCCCCTACCAGCATTGACAGTGATAGATTAAGGATGGAATTACTTATCTGCACCTTGTAATCCAAACAGAATTGCAGTCTGCTGTTAGCAGTCCACAGGGGTTGCTGCTGAATAAATTGGAATGCTGGTAGCTGTGCTCGCTGAAGCTTCTCTCATCTTGAATACGTGAGAAAGAGGGGAAGAGGAACCCTGTGGATTTAAACAAGAGAAAAACCCCAACAACAGAGGGTGATGCCTTTACCCTAGAGAAGTGTTTATTAGGTTAAATCCTGTATTTAGCAGCTAAGGAGGAATAGACCACTCTTCATTCACACATTCAATTTTTCCCTCAGATGAAACAAAATTATTTTGAATGAGAAGTGCCCCTTCTCTCATGTGAGCAGGAAAAGTTTCCTTGACAGCCACAAGACCATGAAATTTGAAGTCACATTCCCTTAGGTAGTGGTCACAAACCAGCAGTCAGACTGCATGTGCAGTCTGTGTGTCATGTGTGGCTCACATTTCATCCAGCTGCAGAAGGCAGCGATGGTGGAACTGCATCTCCAGCAGGAGTGGCAAGGAACTTCAGACACCAGGTAAGGCTCTACAATGGGGATTAAACTGAGGTCATGTAGTCTTTTAGACTGAGGTATAGTTGGTGTTCCAGATTCTGTCAGGCGCTGCATAGGTCACTTCATTATCTTCTTCACAGAACATACCTGTTAGAAAGTGATTTTTTTTCTGAGGCCGAATTCACTAATGTTACTAGGACTTGTTTTCACAGTTGTTCATCCTTTGATGCAAACATTCACAACTGAGCAGGTTACAATCTGTAACTTGAACCTGCTGCCTGATAAAAGCTACTGAGGAAGAACTGTAGATTTCTTTGGAGTAAGCAGTGCTTCTCAGGAGGGCATTAATGTTGAGGAAAGCGAATTAGTAGGTCTTTCTGTAAGAAATCTCTTAAATACAAAGTACTTCATCAGTTCTTTTTTAAATCTTATGTTACTAAAAAGAAACAGTGTGACAAAATGGCTTCAGAAGTATCTTGTGAATGAATATTCAGAGTTCATGCAGCTTTTTAAATCCACATAGATTCTTATAGGATTGACTATGAATGTTTACTGGTATGTCTGGAGAGCTGTGAAAACTGCAAGAAAGGATGTGTAAATTTTATTGTAGATTTCCATTCTTTACACTTCCCCCAAGTGGTGGAATAAATAGATACTCCATCTATTTTGAGGGCTACTTCATTTGGCATCCCCCAAACCCAGCTTTTATTTCTCTTCAGAGTGGGGCTATTAGCACAGAAGTGAGAATTTGGATGCTTTCTCTAGCTCTGTTGATAACACCATTATAGTTCAGGTCTTCAGATTTTGCTCTTTTGTGGTGGGGGCTGAGGCACAGATCTGAAGGCTTTTTGGCTGACTGTCAGTGCACTGAAATGTAAGATGATTACAAAATGGTTGAATCAGCCAAAGGATTTGTTGGCAGTTACAACAGCCCTTCTGACTGATCTGGCAAATCTGCCATTTGTTTCTGATCTACTCCGTTGGGACAGTGGAAGTTAGAAATGGATGGCAGTTGTGGCATCTATGGAAAGTGGTAAATTACTACATGTAGGGTAGGTACCTCTACAACTTGGTTTGAGTATGCTAATTGTAACTGTTATGTCCTCTCTTCTGAAAAATATGAAAGGAAGGAAAGATTTCTCAAGGATGCATTCAAATCCACAAGGATGAAGATGAAGAGAATTTCTGGAGAATAATTATTCTGCAAATGTCTGGAAAAATTCCAGCTTGAATCTTTATTTTCTTGTTCATGCACATGGAAGCTTGAAAATACGCTGGGAAGAAACCCTGAAATCTTTATTTCATTTTTAATAATACCCTCTGTCCTAGTTTAGGGCAAATTTGGGGAAAACCCTCTGGAAGGAGCCCCCAGAAAACAAACCCCTGCAGCCCCTCCCCACCCACCTAGTGCGGGAAAAAATTTTCTCTGAGAGAAATGGAAAATAACCTGTTTATTTAACGAACAAAGCACTCCCCAGCACCAAAAAACATTTAACAACACCAGATGACAACAAAACTCTTTCACCACTCTGAAGAGATGAACAAATCCAGAAAGTCTTTCCTGGGAGTGGTCGCCCGGGTCTGGGCGCTGGGGATTGCTCTGGGCACTGGGGATGGTTACTGCAGATCACAAA